AAAAACGAGTCAGTAGGATTATACTGCATTGAGGAGCACACAGCTATATCTGAAAGTACAAAGCATCCCTAGGGACCTGTTATGACTGGGAATGCTGCAAATAGGTGGAACAAGCAGGGTGTGGTGCAGTAGTAACAGTGTGGCACAGCAGTTGGCATCATGGATCACCTGGGAGGGCACACCAGTAGGGCACTGTCACTTGTCACTTCCAGCAGTTTGGTCACAGCACCCACCCAGCAGAAAGCCATGTCCCCTGTGGCCTCACTGGCCACAGCAGCTGACACAGCTAACCAGACCACTCCTGAGGCACGTGTGACCATCCAGGTCCCTTCCAGCTCAGGATATTCTATGACTGTATGTATTTCTGCTAGTGACTTTTGGAAATGGGCAAGTAATTGTCTTACTCTTTTTCCAGTGCTGTATGACTTCCAAAGGGCAGCTCACCAGACTACCAAAGGGCTATTTGTGGTAGCAGTGTGGCATGTATTTCACCATACCACTTAGGAATTTCATCCTGCTCTCCAGTTGTGCCAGACAGAAAGGAGGAAGGATGGAGTAAAAACACATTGCATCAGTCCTGAGTCTTGTGGCTGTCCAGAAGATCAAATGTAGTTATTTGAGTGAAAATCTCATCTAAATGCTGGAGTACCTTTGGAGATCTGTATTTAAGTTTATCTTATGCGGTCTTTGTTAGTTGTTGCTTGAGATAAGTTGGTTTGTCTGATTTCTTAGGTGGGAATGAATGGGTCATTCATACTCCAGGTAGGCACTGTGCACAGAGAGTGAGAAAACACCTTGTCTGTTCTTTGTTGTGTAGCTATGAATTAAATACTTGCATCTGTCAGCGAGAGTTCTAGAAGACTGCAAGGTGTCAACAAGAAGGGAAGCAAAGCTGTGAAATAGCTGTTGCTCTCATACATATTCTCCAAGCATAACTTGACTGTACCACATATAGCAATCACTTCCTGGCAATTGTTTGAGAGTACTAACAGTAAATACAATTCAGAAGCTGTCTCCATTTAATACTTGATCAGGGTGAGGAACTCTTCCTTGGATTTTGGATCTTCGTGCAAAAATGGCACTGGTGCTCACCTTGCTGTTCATCAGCTCCAAGCAATGCCATGCATATGTGTCTACAAAATGCTTTTTTAAATGTTCAGCCTTAGTTTACTATCACAAAATCACAGAATGACTGAGGTTGGAAGGGACCTCTGGAGGTTTTCTGGTCCAACCTCCTGTTCAGGCAGGGCTACCCAAATTAGGCTGCTCAGGAAATATTCTAAAATCTTTTTATGTTTCAACCAGAGTTCACTGGAGTATCATTTTTGTGAGTACAGCTCTGAAATGAACTGCTATTTTCCATAATCAGTAGTTAAGTGCCAGTTAATCAAGGAACTCCTAAATCATGCACTGTGTTTTCTATAAGAATAGTTTTTGTCTTATCTGTAGATTTTTTATCTCTAGAATGGAATTCATAGGGAAAGCCTGACTGAAGACAAGTTCCCCTTTTTTATCTTAAGAATTAGATACTTAGCAACCCATAATGGGGAAGACCTTTATCCTGCTGAGGTAGCTTCTCAGACAGCTTGTTGCTTTTGAGGATCTCCATCCCTCAGCACCCAACAACACACAGGCTTTTGTGCAGGAGAACTGCAGTGCCCACTGCAAGTACCATTGCACACGACTTAACCTAACAAGGAAGTACTGGAGCACCAAAGTTTCTTGCAGAGCCAGCTGCAAATGATTTCACCAAGGTCATTGTATCAGTGTCATTAGCAGAATCAGCTTTAAGGGCTGACTCAGAATGTCACCTGAACTCTCTCAGAAGGAAACAAGGGCAAAACAGCAGGTCTGTGCAGCTATTCATGATATTAACACCAAGCACTGTGATTAGATATTGGGAAGTATGTATAATGATTTTACGACCTGGGGGAAAACCAGTATATTTCAGAGCCTCAGTAATTGTAAGAGCACTGCTTGGTAAGCTGCTTTTAGGAAGAAAATCAGGATCTTGTAAACCCCATTAGTACTGCCACTACTTGTGAAGCAATGCTGAGATGGTTCTGCTGCACTGCAGGTATGCTCCATTTTAAAAAGGCATTAGGAACACCTGGTACTGTTACCATAAGCCAATGAACTACATGTCACCCTATGTGATTCAGCTGTGCTTGAACCCAGTTTCTTCTCCTCACTAGCCCAGTCTGCAGGTAAGCCAGCACCCATTTGTTTTAATCCATCTAGTTTATAAATGTAGTTATGATCTTCTGAAGTCAGTACGTGTAAAGGTCTGCTTTTTCCTTGAGACATCTGTCAGCCGAAACAAAGAGATCATATTTTACCAATATGATCCATTTTCTATTGCGGTATCAGGCATGCTATCACAATTATAAAGCAGTCTCTAATATCTATGAGTTGCAGTTCAGAGCACAGCAGAAATACAAAAGGATCACTGACAAATTTATTTTTATTTTTGTCTATATTGGGCAGAGCTGTAATTTGATTTTCTGTTTGTTTCATTTTGCTTTCAGATGTAGGTATTCCTTGCTTTGCTTACAAAACTAATCTGGCAAAAGTAGCAAGTGACCAGCAGGGCCATCAGCAGCTGCCAGTAAAATAAGTGTGCTTGGTGTTAGCTCTTAACTACATCGATCACAGAATCTACCCTTCACACAGGCCTTAGCTCTCTGCCAAGTCCCTCCCTGCTGAGAAGTCTGGGCAATAGGAAAATATTTGCAGCATGCTTATGAGGCTATTTCAGTTCAGGCTGAGGTGCCAACTCCTCAATTAAGCACCTTTCACATTGAACACCCTCCTGCCAGTCTCAGCCTGTGGATGATGGCAAGTGCTCTTTCAAACAGTCTGATGGGAAAATAGGGTTAGAAAAGACAGCATTTCCATGGTATGAAAAACTATGTTATGAAACAAGTGCAGATAACTACATAAAGTACAACAATGTCCTATTATGTAAGCTCTAATTTTCAGCAAAAATGTGTCTATATTTTGACATCACTGTGATTGTTTTTGTTAGGGGTGTAAGCAAATTGCAGATTATTTGCACTGTTCCTGTTGTCCGTAAAAGACTCTTGCCTGCTGTGGGTAGGAGAAGGCATTCACAGAACTTGGGATAGAGGAAGACCTTCTTTTATGCACTTGGCAGCTGAGCTCTTCTGCAGCTTAGGAGACACAGCAGAGCTATCTGCCAGATTTTCATTTCTCAAAGGAACAACACTACTGTAGTATCAACTCTTTATTTCTTTAGCTAGGAATTTAATCTCATTTTAATAAGTAATAAAACATTACTTTTAAATTCTGCATGTTTAGTGCTATCATTGAATTCCAGTGTGCAGCTAAATGTAGCATAACACTAGTCAGGAATAAAAAATAAATAAACACCAAGAAATACCAGTTTTGTTGAATGAGGGCTTGTCTAAATCAAAAAGTTGTCTTACTGATTAGCAAAAAGAAGACAATGTAGAGACTACATTCTGCTGCAAGTGAATGCTACATTACTAATGAATGAGAAGAAAACTTTTTGGGTGAAATAACAAAAATGTGGAAATAGAGGAGAAGATAAAAGTAATTGTTCAAATCAGGAATTTTCATGTGTTGAAACTAAATCATAATTAAAGGTTCAGATGATTAAATAAGTCATCTTTGAGACACGGTTCATATAGGTCTACATTGAGGACCCACATCCTACACAGCAGGATTTTTGTTAAAGCAGAAAGCAGGCAGTTGTATTTTTGCACATGGCAAATGATACAAGCTGCTATAGATTAACGTGGAGTAAGTGTTGGAGCTATAAAAAGGGAAAGGTTTAGGTAAGCAGCACAAAGTGTGCAGCTAAGGGAAAAAAAAAACAAACAAATGTAATGGGAGTCTCAGTTGTAGAAGGATTTCAAGATTAATCCAGTGAGTATAAAACTTGGATTAAGTTTGTCTGACTTTGGATAGAGATACTACCTTTATGTAGAGAAGCGACTGTTCTGTATCCAACAGCAGATTATCTACAATTGCTCACTGATTTTGCTGTATGCATTACATGTGGCATTATTGACTTGCATTTTACTCAAACAATTAGCTGAAATTAGTCGCTGCAAGGATACCTGCAAGGTTTGGAAAAAAGAAATGGTAGTTATCCAGCTGCAAAGAAAAGTCACAAATTATAGACTCATCAGCCTAACTTTGTGCCATGGAGAGTTTTGGAATGAAACACTGAAGAATCAATGTATGTGACATAAGCCACTGATAACAGTCCACCCACAAGCCCCCAGAGTAATCTGTCATTAGATGAACCAGTCCAATTTTCTTGTTTAAGGGCATAGTTAGCTTGGCAAGAAAGGAAGAAACAGTAGCATATATACAGAAAATAACCACCTATCAGCAATACAGAATGTTTGTGGGAGCAAAGTATCTTACAAAATACATATGAGACAACTAAATAGCATCATTCTAGGCTGAATGGGCAGAGTTGTCGTATTTTGATTTTAACTATTTTAAACATGTAATCGTTATGCTCTATTTGATCCTTTTAAAGACTCAGATGGAAAATTCTGATGGCAGATTTTAGAGAACACAAAGCAAAGCTAGAGGAATGAGTTTGTTCACTTAATAAAGAGAAGGTTACATGTAGAGATTTTAACTATTTTCCAATGCATGAATGATTATTAGCAAAATGTAGTGCTCGGCTGGTCTTCATCCTTAAAATAGTAAAATATTTCATGTCATGCATATATGCTCCTTGCTGTGAATTAAGCTGATTGGTTTTCATCATTCTGCCATGTAAGGTGCTAAAATAATTTGTATAGGCATGCTGTAAAATTGTCTTCATTGGAACTTTTCAAGAAAATGGACAATTACCTTTGTGGTTAGTCTAAAGACCCTTTAGCTGACTTTCATGCTTATGAAGCCTGGAGGCTGAGCAAGGAGAAACCTTATTGAAGAGATGGAAGCTGCACTATGAGTCATGTGTAACTGAAACCCAGCTGAGACAAGAGCCTGCTTTAAGAACTGTGGACCGGCTGGTCAACTGGAGAGGAAGCCAGGCCTGTTTAGAAAGGTGGGATTTGTCTGAGCAAATATAAATATCAATGTCATAAAGATATATGCATGGGCTAGTCAGTTTAGGCTCCCTATACATTCACTAGACTACTCTGTTCTTACTATTTCCCCTTTTCCCTTGTGGTGATTCATTATACACCAACTAAAAGTTAGATGCCAAGTTTGAGTTAATCACCTTGTGTTCCCCTCATAGAATCAGAATTGTAGAATCATATGAGTTGGAAGAGACCCTTAGAGGTTGTCTAGTCCAACTTCCTTGCACTGATCAGGGACACATTACATCAGGTTCCTCAGAGCCCTGTCCAGTCTGACCTTGAATATCTTCAGGGACACAGCATGCACCACCTCACTGGGCAGCCTGTTCCAGTGCTTCACCACCCTTATTATAAAAAAACCTTCCTTATATCCAGTCTAAATCACACCTCTATTAGTTTGAAACCATTTTCCCATGTCCAATCACAACCTATCGTTCCAAAGAATCTGTCCCCTTCTCTCTTACAGCTTCCCTTCAGATACTTGGGTCACCCAGGAGTGTTCTCTTCTCTATGCTGAACAGTTCCAACTCTCTCAGCCTGTCCTTTTAGGGGAGGTGTTCCATCCCTTGGAGCATTTTTGTGGCCCTCGTATGGACACACTCCAACAGATCCGTGTCTCTTTCCCCTGACCATCAGTGGAGAGAAAAAATCTATTTCCAGGGTGTGATTCATCTCACATTAGACGTGCATGTGATGTTTTTTTCCCTGTAATGGCTCCTGCAGGCTGGTAGCACATGACATAAGTGGCTCATAAGATGATTTTGTAACTACCCCATGGTTGAAACGCAGGCACCTAGTGCAGGTTTAAATGAGGATCTCAGGGGAGTCTTCATACCGAACTTTCAAACCCTCTGTGAATTTTCCTCTCATCCCTTCTCATTCCCCATTTGGCTTGAGAAATTAAAAACAAGTGCTTTTTGGAAGGGACAGGGAGAGATGTACAGAAAATGAAAGCATGTAACGGATGGATATTTAGATAGTAATGCCTCACTTGGTGCATGCTTCTGTTGTCAGCTAGCCAATGAAATCAGCTGGCAGTAGGCTCTGGGAATGGATTTCTAATATGTTGTCTGTTACCTCTTCTGAACTTTGAAGCCAAACATATTAATGAATATCGCTCAATCACAAAACAGGCCAGGTACCATAAACAGTAGTTCCTTTTACTGCTAATATTGTATCCATGCCTACTTAGCAAAGATGAGATAAAATATTTTAACCTGACTTGCTAACTTAAGTGTTAATCAGAGTGATAAAGCATGAGAAGAAACATGCAATAAGTTGCTAGAAATTTTATCTGTGACCTCCTGATTTGGTGGGACAGTTTGCATGCCCACTGAGGATTAGAGTGCACTGCAACTGCCCAGACAGCACCAAAATTCATTCCTGTGAATGCAGTTTTGTGATGCATAGCAAAATAGTATCAGACATCCAGGTATATCGAGCTAATAAAGTATTTAGACATTTTTATGAGCAGTATACTATGAAACTGCTCTTCCAATAATCTCTGTTGAAGAAATTTGGATACAGCAGATGAGCAATATATCATATACAGAATGATGTGAGGCGATAAGTAATCACATCTATACCAGTTACCGAGCTTTCGAATTTCAAATACCTATTCATACATGCAGAAACATTCACATAGAGAAATGTTTGTTTAAACTACACTGTATTTTATATCTGACACAGGTTTCCTTCTAGAAAAAAATATCCTAATTCCTTCATATACATTTTTTCACAAAATCATATCGTATCTGCTGCACGATATTTATGCAAGAATCAAGGCAGACTGTGATGTTTTAGTTTAAACAGAATTTCTCAATCAATTTTCACATTATTTCATGATAAAATTAATTTTGCTAACATTCTGTATGTCTTTCCCCCTTTTAAAATTTGAGACTGGATTTTTTTTTTGGACAGCCTCTGGCATGATGGCAGTACTGATTCTGCCGAGTCTTTGGAAATGTCGTGGCACAGAGCGCAAATCATCCAGCACAAAGGCATGAGACAAAGGCGTTAGCATTACCCAAGAGTTCAAAGTGAAGCAGACCTCCAAAGTATGAAGCTGATTTAAAAATCATAACATTTCATCACAAGTCACTTTGGGGGCAGGGACCTGGCCTTCTTCTTTTTGAGGTCTTAGGACTTAGGTTTTTCCACCTTGCTCTGCAGCGTTCAAAGCAGTTAACCAACATTTTACCTTTTGTTCAGTGTCCTTTTTTAAGATGAAAGCTGATAGTTTCATAGACCTCTGGAAGTTGAAGCCAACAAATTGCATGTGAGGAAAATTCATGCAACTGTGAACAGCTCTGAGATCCTACCTTCCCTTCAACTTAATAAAAACCCAGAAAGGGCAGAACCATCTGTTTTTCATATTAGATTTTCACTTTTTGGAATAAATCCTGGAATAAAAATAAACCTAACTGTGATATTCAGCTCCAGCTCAATTTCCACTGCTGAAATGAAACAGTTTCTGCTCATTTAAATGAGAGCTGGAGCAGAACTTCTTGAGCAGTACTCTTTTTCACTTCTCTCTATTCAGAAAACAATTCAGGACTCTGTGACAGTTTGCTAACTCATTTTAAATGTGAAGAACATAAAGGGAAAAATAATTTTAATGTCACAACTAAACAGACAAACGTGCCTTAATTTAACTTCCTTTCAGGTCAATAGAAACTTTCCATTAACTTTGCTGGGCACTGAACCAAGTCAGATAAATCAAGCTGAAAAACGGAATGGAATCTAAATAAAGCTGACAGCCTGGAGTGAGATCCAGGGTAATAAGCTTAATGTATTGCCAACCCCAAACTCTGAAGGCATGTGTGCCTTGTTCAAAAACAATGTAGGCAGAGTGCGTCAAAGTGTGTGGAGGAATTTTCTGTTGTTGAAAGCATAAGTGAGTCGATTTTAAATATAGCAGCAAGCCGAACCTAGATTAAATCATCAAGCATATTTTTAGGCTGTTTAAAAAGTGTAGGTTTTTTAGGCTGTGTAAAAAGTACTAGAAAGTACTAGATACCACTTCTGACCAGGTCATTGTTGCAAGAAATAATTCTCCATGAGTTCTGTGGAAGTAATATCTGCAGATCTGTTGGCAGTCTGTAGCACATTCAATAGAAAATGACTTGAAGCAGAACTGCTGTAATGTTAGCAATAACTACGTTGAATCAGAGTCTGTGAATACTCTACATAAATGACATTTATTAAGACTGGCTTCTGTTAATGACACTGCACAGGGCTGCATTTGGCAAGCAGTAAAGATAAAGTGTAGCATTTGTACTTTGGCACTGTATCTGCTTTGTCCCAGTGTCACTTGGATATGTTATTCATAGCTTTCCTTATTTCAAGCTGACATGCTTTTGTATTTCCTATGTCCTTACTTTTGAAGAATTAGTTGTGGAGATTTTTGTAATGCTGTGTGGTTCCAGAGCAGGTGAAATTTAGATAACACAGAATTGTTAATCCCAGTCCTTGCCTCCAGCATATCTCTCATTCCATCCAGAGTACCCTGCATCTGAGACTTTTCTTGCTGTGTTTTCAAAAGCCTGATGGCCAAATATGCCTCACATTTTCTTCAAGTTTCTTTCCCTCTCTATTGCTTCTGATATGTTCCCTTACCCTTTGACTGCAATGTTCTCCCCTGAGGCTTAGTCATCTGCTTACCTCCTCTGCTGCCAGGGAAATCAACCCACCCATTTTGCTTTTGGGATTCTTCTTCACGAGTCTTTCATTCAAGCCCATCTCTGGTTACCTTTCTTATGACCCTTATATCCTTGTTCATGATACCACTACTCACCTGTATAGATTCAGCTGCAATCTTACTTGTTAGCCAGAGTTCTCTTCCAGCCACCACAGGAGCAGACATGGTTACACAAAAGATGGAAATGGCAACGCCAATTCTGTGAGGTCCCTTATAAAAGTAATGAATAATGTTTCGATAGCAAACAAATGGATTTTCAACCTCTAAACAAGTGGAATGCTTCAAGCAAGTGTAAAAGCTAATATGTTGCCATAAATGTCATCACTGCTAGCATGCCAGAAGAGGAATAGATAAAACTCAGGGCTCAAAAAGATGCTCGTATCTCTCTGAGGGATATACATGGAACTTTGGTGAGTCCTAGATCATGAACAAATTATCACAGCATAGAAAATGTGGTAGCAGTACAGAAGCAGCACTTTAACCTGTAGCAACTGTCAGATTTGGTGGTGTCAGTCTTTTTGGATGCACTCGAAGCACTTCTGCACAGCTCTAGTTAAATGTGCTGTATAGCAATATTTAGGCTTTTGTTGGGCTCACTGCCTTTGAGAGTCTGCTGAGTGAAGAGAGCCTCCCTGCAGCTGGCCTTGCTGCTCCTTCCAGTGTTGCCTGTGCACAGCTCTTCAAAGCTGGATCTGGGCTGGAGTTGTGCAGCCAGCAGACCTGTGCTGATGAGCAGCACCCAAGGGAACGCACCAGAGACTTCTGTGTGCCTTTCCACAGTTCTCAGTGTAGAGCACAGCTGAATGTGCTGGCCTTTTGATCTCTTGCAGCACCAAAGACTTCACAAGCCACAAGATCCTATTTGCTGTTAGTTCTGTTGGTACAATCTTGTGTTTGATTTAAATCAGAGGAATTCCACAGCGCAGCAAGGATCTTTTGCTATGACTGGACTTTCTCTCTCCACTTGCAGCTCTCTCTTTTCAGTCATTACTTTTCAGCTAAAATACTTACCCGCTGTCAGCCTTTGTGCCATGGCAGGATCAGAATGCCTTTTTTGTATAATGCCTTGGCTGGTTCAAGTCTCCTCATGGATTCTGAGTCTCTGTTTTTTCTCACATTTCACTTCCTTCAAAGCTTTGGTTTGGACGAGGCTATTATTGCTATTCCATCATTGTTCTCTGCAAATTGCTGTTGGTATTGCAAATGTTTATTTGGGTCTATAGGAGTTAATGAAGGTTTTGCAGTGACTCATGAGAGCTCAGGCTGTGATTCATCCAACCTCTACTGAAAATTCTTTCCAGAGCCAGGTCTCCCAGACTGAGACATATTGTCATAAGCTCTCACGTGTTATATTCCATGCCTTGAAATTCTCTCAGCAGAATCATTGAGCATTTTAGCTTGAATGGCTTTCAAAGTAATAAGATACAATTTACCTTTTGTTGTAGGGTAGATCTTCGTGCATTATTGCCATCACTTCAGTATATTTCTACTTATTTATTTCTGCAATTTATCCTTCAGATTACTGTTCCTCTTTCTGTCTTGCCTAGCGATGTCTTACACTTAGAATATAAAGTTCTCCTATGACTCATATTCCAGGCAAAATGCCATTCATTCTAATAGAGTGAAAATATATTTTCCCCATATTAATTTATCGAAATCTGTTTTTTGTTCAGATCATTTTCTGCACTTTCAGATATATCTTATTTGTTCCTGACCTCTTCTGGAGCTCTCAGCGCATTTCAGAGTTTAATAGATTAGACACCACAGCTCCACTATGAAACAGGTAAGTACTAAGAGGTTTATTTCCAAGTGACAAAGTCAGACATAGCTTATAAAATTCATTAATGGTCATAAACTGGTAAATGAGCTGTGATCTGAATCAATTTCTTATTCTGAGCTTAACTCTTACTTACTTCTACTTAATCACCCTTTCTTAGGTCAGCATGTATATAAAGCTTATGTTATTAAAGCTAAAATATATGGTATGATTATAAATTTGGTTTTAATTGGGAAAAAGGAAGAAGCAGTTGGAAAATGCAGTTCTGATACCCAGGGCCATTTTATTACTCCATATTAGCTCTGTCTAGAAGATGGAAAATTATCATGTGTTTCCTTTGTCTTAGCAAGCTGATTGCCAAGTCTAGAAGAGCAACCTCTTTACAGGATGCTCAAGCAGCCATCAGCTCATCACTTTTCAGCCTGAACTTTGAGCTGTGAGCAGTAGCTGCTTATCTCAGTCAGCCCTGACAGCTTTTTGAGATTTAGGGTGAATATATTTCTGGTCTTAAATTGGGAGCGATGTGATTGTCGTCATTATGTGCTCTCCAGGCTTATCAGTGCTGTTATTTTTCATTTTCTCTTGTTTCTAGTTAAGAAGGGTTACTTGTAAATAAAACTGCTTGTTTGATGTTTTTCTTGTTGGGGAGGAAGGGGGGGAGGAGGGGGGATATCTTTCTTACTGAACACTGCATCAGTACTGTTTAATTTGAAGATTCCTGCTTTTGGGCTTCAGTTGATGCTGTGTAGGTGGTTTTGTAAGGAAAATGAAGTCGGCCTTGTGAAGCTAATCAGTCTTTGGCTAGGAAATGAGGCTCTGTCTGTAAAGGAATGCTTAAGGCAGGACTGCTCAGTGTCTGGGCAACAAGATGCATTTAGCCCACAAAGGGAGTTCTACACTCCAACTTGTGCTCATTCTCAGATGGCATGAATTGTAATCGACAGCACTTGCATATGTACTTGGGTCTTCCCTGGATGTCTGGTGCCATCATTGCACAATGTTAGTTACATGAACTACACACACAGCTGTTGGAAATGAGGACACATGCAGGCTGAGATTTCAGCTTGGGTTCTGTTGTTTCCCTCTCAGTATGTTTGTCTATCCTGTGCACCTTCCCACTAAAGCTCCAGTACATGAGTTTGCTGAGGTAGCATAGTTCTAGTAAATGCAGGATACAGAAGCAATGGAGACACAGTGCGTTGTGTTTGCCCATTCTCCTTTAAGATGGGCTACACCATATCATTTCTGTTAACTGTGGACTCGGCCTTGCTCTTTGTGAACGTGCTTTAGAGGCATCTATAAGAGATATCTGTAGTCTTGCAGAAGGCCTATCTTCTAAAAGTAAATTGATTTATTTACATATATACTGCTCCCACAAGACACCGAGACACTGCACTGTGCAGATGTCCATAAAACAGACTCTCTGTCCAGCTATAGTGACATGTAGCTGTTCCTTCTGATAACCCTTCTGATAGTGTGGACAGGATCCAGCACATGTATTGGCAAATAACTCCATGAACTGAGTGAGCTCTTCTGCAGAAACCCAGAGAAAGCCACTTGCACCTTCTTGCATATCCTTGGCAGGTGTAAATTCCTCTTTCCACAGAAATCTAACAGTATGCAGGCATATACATATTGGGAAAAGAGCATCAGTAACTTGAAACAAAAGTGTATCAGAATAGAAATGCTAATGAGGTGTCGTATATTCCTTCACTCTGCCCTTTTTTTGCTGGTAACTTAATAGCAGACTTCCTGCAAATTATGGATGTGATTATCTCACAGACAGGAGTTTCTTAGGAAGTCCTTCAGGAAGGTGTGACACCTATATTCCCAAATACTGTTCTAAAGTAGTACGTGGTAGACATTATGCATTTCTAATTTAAAACTATTATAAATTTGTTTATCTAATTAAAGAATTTGTTCATATATACTGAGATCAGTAACACTGACAGATAAGCAAAAATAACGTTCTTTACTCAAGGAAGTACTAACTGGGAAACAGAAGATTTTTTGGATCTGTTACTAAGAAATTTGCAACATTTTGGGTTTTTTTTTAACCTCATAAAATAGATCAACTATATAGTATTTATATATCTAGCAGGAATATCCAATTTGTGAATCAGAAATGCCCTTTTGAAGAGAAGACACCTAAAGGAAACACCCTTTTGGAAAGTTTGGCTTCATCTGCTAGAACCAATTTGTAGGTGTTAGAACCCAGGCTAAGACCAAGGGTAGGAGTCTCACTATTCGCATGCCATGAGGCTCTTAGAAATTCCTTTGAATCACTTTGTATTTAACACTATCAGAGAAAAGGCTTTGGACCAAATGAATCTGGACCTGCCTATGCAGGTAATATACCTGTACTGAAACTTTGCTTCTGAACTGCTGTTCTCTTTACGTGCTCCAGCACCAAATTTCTCGTGAGCTTACATGAGTTACTGTCATCTTGAATAGAATTTTTCCTATCATTTCCAAGGCAACAAGACATTTTAATAGTAGACTTAAAACTAATTCACTGAATAGACAAACAACCAATTACACTAAAATTGCCGTTAAATTAAATATTTTTGCTTCTTCAGTCTGTTTTTCGTTATGTGTGGACCCTTGGCACCATCTAGTGTTTGAAAATGTATACCAACATTACCGAGCTCAAAAAGAGGTTTCAGCTGCAAAAGAAACCCAAAACAAAACAGAAATAAATAAAAACAAACCCACCAAGAAGCAAAACCACCAACACTGGTCCGGGGAACAATCATCTAATTAATTCCATTGAATTAAATTTTTCCAGTTACAGCATACAAATATACAAGAGCAGGATATGCAAAAGCCTGTACATGCTTGTGACTTAGGACTAGAAGGAATGGCCTCAAGTTGTGCCAGGGATGGTTCAAGTTGGATAGTGGGAAAAATTTCTTTTCCAAAAGAGTGTTGAGTCTCAGCTCCTGGGTCTGTTTAGATGTTGTACTAAAGGACATGAGTTAGTGGAGAAATATTGGTGATAGGTGGACAATTGGATTAGATGCTCTTGGAGGTCTTTTCCAACTGTGGTGATTCTATGATTCTGTGATTCTATGCCTTTCAGTCCCTTGTTGTCTGATGAAATTGCACTGGAACTATTATATCAATTCAGATATGCTGTTCTTCAGAAATATACCAACAGAGATTTTCTGTCAATATTTCATATTTCATGAATATAGCTTGCTACGAAGACTATATTTTAATAAAATCAGTGAAAGGTTTGTAGTTTTAGCATAGAGTCCTATGGCTTCTAAAAAAGCTGAGGCAGCATAGTCTTTGGCTTCTGATATCTTGAGAGCATGACTTGCAGCAGCTGACTGAAAAGATGTGCGTGAAATGCAGTATGGTTAACCAAGTGTGAAAGGGAAATAATGCTGTGAGAGCAAATTACACTTCCTTCTACGTGCTATGAGAAATGTAGTCAGGGAAAAAAAATTATACCCCACTGTCAGTTTATGCCAGGCCAAATGAAAGCCAGGGAGAGGTAATATCATTTTAAACTGATAGCTTTTCTTGTTCTTGTGAGTCCATGAATGTGACCCAGCTGCTGGTTGTTGATGTATTGCCAGGAATGGCTGGGAAAAGACAATCTGCCATAGTCAACTAGAGATAGAAGCAGAGGATGTGTGGAAGACAGAGAACAGAGAGGATATTCAGCATTTAAATTAAACTTTGTGGATCCTCATACATATATTGAGTTTGGCTATGCACAAAACAGATTACAAGTGCCTTCTTAGAAAAGCAATCAGCTGGATTAGAGAGCCTGAGCCACCATTAAGGAAGTAATTGTGATTGCCTTTCTATGGCTGTCAGAGAATTAGACATCTGGTTGGTCTTTACACTCTTTGCTAGTCAATGGAGAGACAGTGCTTTCAGAAGGTGATTCACTCCATGTATCTAAGACTTTTAATTTGAAGTGGAATGAATCTAGAGTTCGTTAGGTAGTTCTTCCACTCCTGGATTGTAGAGGAGGCCTAAAAGGCAAGCTTAGAGGTTATGCTAGATTGAGAACAGTTGGATGGGACGAGACCTGTACTAAGTTGGAGGCAGAAGTGAAGTGAGAAGAAGACACCTAAAGGAAAACATACAGTTAGTGGCTTTTGCTGTTTTTTATTCATCATGCTTAGGGTTAAGGTCATAGGCATGACAGTTTTCAGACCAGTGTCTTTAAGTGGATAAAATGATGTGCGTATGCTTGTTATCTCTGTTCCTCACTTCTCTCTGCCCATGGGCTCCATTTACATTTGTTTTAGCACTTCTGTAATATTAAGTAGTCTGATAAGTGCAAGAATTTACTTATAAAACAGGTGGCAGGATCAAGACTTTCTCTGGGGACTGATGTCTCCCAGCTTTTGGTGCAGATTTTTAAAGCTGTGTCCAGTCTGGTTGTGGCTGGCAAATACAGGCCCTGAGGCTCTCTTTCTTCACAGCTGTCACAGGACAACTTGATCCACCCTTGTCTGCCCTTCAGAGTGAGCTCAAAATTTTCATGCAGTCTTTTCTGTAGAAGTAAACCTGGGGTTACATGGTTCATAACTGAATATGAGTCAGTTCTGTGGCAGGACTGCAAAACAGATAGATGATGTTCTGGGAAATGTTAATAATAGGGCTGTACTTAAGCCAAAGGAGGTCATTTTTCTGGTCTGTTTGGTGTTGGATTTTTCTTCTGCTGGTAGAATAGAGTGCCCTGTTTTGCGTCCCGTGTTTCAAAAAGGATGGAAAAACTAGAAAGTGGAGAGAAAAGCAGTAGAAATGTCAGAAAATTTGCACTCTGAGAAAGAAAAGAAGGAAGCTAGGCTAAAAAAAAAAAAAAAAAAGGAAAAGAAGAGGAAGCTGAAGAAGAAATACAGCAAACTGCTAAGAATGTTTTCAGTTGTTAGAAAGTTGATTCAACTGTTGTCTGTGCCCAGTGCAGGTAAGAAATTAAGAACAAATTATCTGAATTTGTAATGGGAGACTTAGATTAGCCATTAGAAAAAAATTCTAGCTAGAAGAGTTAGATGTGAAATATTGTGAGAGGATGCTGCCTGTGGTAATAGTGCAATCACTTTCACTGGAAGCTGTTATGAAATAAGCATCTGTCAGGAATAGCTTGATATGCTTCATTCTGTGTCAGTACTAGGGAGTGGACTGAAAGATACCAGGAAATGCCTTCCAGCTACAGATCTCTAAGCCTCATTAATGCTGTCAAATTTCAGGAAAAACTGTATCTACTTTACACAGGCAAGGTGACAGAGATGTGACCTTTCCCATAAGTTTAGCAATATACCTACCTCTTTTTTTTTTTTTTTAAATCCCTAGAACTTGCATTCCTTGGCTGCCTCTGGATGTGCAAATGCTGGTGGAGGCTGGAACCCCCCTGTGCCTGACTAGCAGCCAGCAGATACCTTCCTTGGTCAAGGACCTTGCTGCATCTCTCTGCATTTCTCACTTCCATTCTGGATCACTGCACTCCTCACCAGAACAAAGGTAATCCAAGCTAACAGAAAAGGAAGGTGTGCCTGTGCTCTGCATTGTGTCACACATAGAGTGCATTTAATCTCTACTTACATACAGATTGTGCTAACTTTGTAGGAAATACCTACTTTAGTTGTGCTGGAGTGAGGAGTGACTGAACCTTGGGGTTCATACAGTTAGCTTTGTTATTATCAGAAGTGCAAGCAGTTGTATTTTGCACTTGAGTGCAAACTGCAGAATCCATCTAAGATGCTGACTATGGGAGCTAGACCACGGTGCTACAGCTGCACTCTAATCAAAACCATATTTTATACCTCATCTGAGTTTGTGTTTGTGATTGTAAATAGATATGCCCTTTGAGGATTTTGTTCTTCTGGCTCTTACGTTGGTGAGATCAGCTTAGTTCCTTACTTCAAACATTAAGGTCTGGTGGATAACAGTTTGCAAAGGGGAACTCTTGACCTTAAGCCTTCCCCTTGTTCCAAAAATCTGTAAGATTTCCAGAGCTGGTTGAAAACATCTGGTATGCTCTAGAAAGAAGATACCTTTTGTCGCTGTCAACTGGCATGTATTTGTATACACATTTGATGTTAGCCAGGAAAATCTAGCATTTCTTTTACCTGAACAGAAACATCTTCTTGAGAGACACCAATTATCCACTTCAATTCAGCCCTTGGCAAATAAACAGAATGTACTCTCATGACACTGGTGTCAGCCAATATCAAACCATACAGGTTCTGTGGGGGTAAGGCTTCTGGTAAAGAGGTGGCCTGAGGCCTTCTCTGGAAGGAAGGATCAAACGGAAAGGCTGTTGCTTTTTCTCCTGTAGAATTTCTTTCAGGGTCATTTTTAACATTGTTAGTTTAGTTCATTTTTTGTGCATTTTGTATCCTGTTGCATATATCTGGAATGTCGTAACTGGCAAAGCACAGAAATCAAGTAATTAACAGCAGGACTGTAGAAGGGTGCCAGACTGTTCTATATAAATCACTGCTTTTCTTTTTGCAGTCCTTACTAAATTCTCAAGGATTATTTTTAAATTGTTTTGAGCTCTCTCTGAATATTTACCACTATCCATGATGTTCAAGCCAATTAACTGTCCTCATTTTTACAATGTGAAGATTTAAATCCATAGTTTATAAATAACAGAAATAAATATATTTTTGAGAAATGCCTGGAAATGATCTTGGACTGTCAAGTTTAGTTTTGCACTGCAAATCTTACTTGTTTCATTGACTGTATTTTATTGATCATCTGGAAAGAAGCTTTGATCTACTGTGTCTGTGCGCTTACCTACTTCAACTAAAAAGAGCAAACACACTTTCCTGCCATTTATCTCCTTGTTAGAATATGACTGAAGAATTCAAAAATATAAATGAACTAGAACGCTGGCACTAGTGTGGCTCAGATGAAGGTGAGGGCAAATGTTTCTGAGAATTCTGTGCAAACTTTTATTATCCTTAAGAACTGATGGTTACTTAGAAAAGGATCATTCTCTTAGTTCTGAGTTTGAAAACAGCATATTGTAGCTTTCACTCTTGTCCTCTCATGTCCACACAGCATGTGGCAATAATAGCAGAGATGGGAGAACAGAGAAAGCTGGAAGTAGGAGGGAGCCCAAAGCTGTGCCATTAGCATTACCAGTGAGGGTCTTTTATAGGGGATACCAAAATGGGTGAGACTCTGTGACCTTCATCCTTCAGAGCACTGAAGACAAAGTACTAGGTTCTGGTTTTAACTTTAGCACATGTTGGATTTTTAATGTGGCTGAAAGCTTGCATGCTCACTCTCTGGTTCCCCCTTAGGGTATGCTTAAAAGAAGATTTGAGATCAGTCACGTCAAAGCTCTTATTATCACATGGGCGTTGATCAGTGTAATTTCTCGTTTCCATGAAGAGAAAGTAAAAACTGCATACACTGAAACTATTTAAATATTTGTATCACATGTATTTTTGATGTACAGACCAATACAAAATGTAAAGTCCTGTGAAAGACGCATTCCTCACTGAATTATGGCATGTAGGGACTCCAAGGACAGAAGTTTACACTTTATTGAAGCAAACGCTTGAGAAGTTCTCCAGCTGCACAGATATACAAAGATAGTAATTAGCTTTCTCTCTGATGAGGAGTGGAAGAAGAAAAAAGATTTCTAATGGTGACCATCATTTGGTAAGAGGAAGAGGCAATGGAGCCAAAATAGTGTAGCATTTCATATGCTCCCATTAATTTGCTTATATATCTCCAGTTACAGAAACTGTGCCTCCAACATAGAATATACATACAGAATCCAGTATCAAATCCTCTTACCCCATTTTATGAGGTGTTCATAGTTTTTCGTCATCCTGCAGATTTTACAGCTGTTACTAAAAGGAGAATAATCTATTGCTGCATTGTGTCTTGAACATTGTAAGTGCCTACGCTCTGTAGTGACCTTGTCAGATAACAGATGAAGAAAGAAGGGTAATGTAGTGGTTAAACATGTAGTTTTTTCCGTCCTGCTTTATGGTATTTTAAATCGTAAGCTGTAGCATTTAATAAACCAAATAAAGAGGCTTCCAAATTGACAGGAGGGATAAATAGTAGAAGAACCAGAATTACATCTGTTAGGATACTTTATTCTCTTTTTAGCTGTCATCTGCAAGGAATGTTCCCAGGACAATAAACTCAGAATCCAGTTGGGAAAATGAAAATTGTTTTCCATTTCTATCATCAGAAAGCTGAAGGCAGAGCAAAGTAGTTAACTTGTGTTAGCACAATGACAGATGTCTATATCACGCCCCCCACACTTTATACCCCCAGACTGTTTGGTAAGTGTTTGCATTCAAGGAGTTTAAGACTTTTGAATAGGCATGTGACTATACAAGCAGTGTGAACGTTCATGACCGCTGATTTCTCTGTAGCTGCATGTCCACTTTACTTCAGATTGTCCGCTCTCCTCATTAGTTATAGTCAAGAGAGATGTATTCAAAGTTCAGGAGTAACTGCCCAATTTTAAATACTGTTTTTAGGTCAGATTCTGGTTATTTCCATCAGGTATTTCAAGCAAACAGAGAGCTCTGCCTGAGCATCCACTTCTGAACCACTGAGGAGCTGAAGTGTTTTCTAGTCCCTTGGCATAAGAGCTGCTTAGTCCTGAAATACAGTGATACTCTTTGGCTTCTCCAAGGATTAAACCTTTTTTTCTGCTAAGTCAAGAGGAGTTTTTCTATTGTTTTGAATTATTATAGGAATTTTTCTCATCAAGTAGTAGCATCCATAGGAGGCACTGTTTCTCTGAGCAGTCCCAGAGCAGGGACAGAATTTCCAAGGCTATGCTGTTGGTAAGCAGGGATTATGAGGATTCCTCCTGGCACTGGCATGGAACATCCCAGAAAAGAAATTGGAGTTGTTGCCTAAGGATTTACCAATCCTGCATCACTGCTTATGTCTCCTAAGTAATCTTGCTCTGTCACATAGCACTTCTGATGTCTGCTCAGTGGTATGGCATTCATTACTTCAGTCTCTGGTTTCTGTCTGTGCTTTCTATCACCTTTGCAAGATTTCATGAACTATTAATGAGAAAAACATAAAGGACAGAGAGGCAACTGATCACTGCTGGCTCCAGAATAAGGAACGGTCCCTGAGATGTTTGTGTGTAAAATCAGCAGCTCTTCTAAAAATCATTGCTTGAATATACAATACAGGAGCTGGTGAACTACGCAAAATGTATGGATTTTGTCAGCTATCTTGTTTAGGTACAGCTTTGAACATTATATGTGAGATGATTCATAAGCATCTAGTTGTTTTTATGTCCTGACCGGCCTCAATTGCTGCTGCAGAAGTGCTCACATCTGTAAGTTTAGTATACCTGCCAGACCAACAGAGATGCCTTGGACAACCTGGGGCATCTGAATGGCACAGATCCCTAATTCAGATGCGTCCTGATCATTCCCAAGATGTCTGCCTAACTGGGAAAATGGAATACATTTGAAGTTCAAAGTTTGTATCTTCTGAGCAGGATAAAAGGGTTTCCTTTGTCTTAGTTAAATGGATCATTAGAAGAACAAGCAGTCCTTCATGTTTTTACACATGAAAGAAGGCCCAGAAAGTCACAAGCTCTCACATGCAACTGAAAACTGTAAGTATATAGTGTGTCTAGAACTCATATGCAAGCTGTGGATTTAAGAGTGTCAGTCTTTATGTCACCTGACTGCCTTCATGCAGTGAAAGGCATTGTGGTGCTTTGATTAAGAATTCATTAGATTTCAGTAGTATCAAAGACTGTCTTCATCTAAACGTGAGTAGGCTGTTGTAAGAACTTTGCCATTGTGTGAGAAGAATGTACTGGTTGTGTGATCTGCAAGTTTCATTTCTACATCTACAAATCTCTTTCCAGACATGATTTAATATGGTTCATGCCACGTAACTCAAACAATTCCATGAAAAAAGTGGAACTAAATAAAATGGAAATGATCTGAAACCTTCATCATTATTCTAAAAGCACATAACCTTGTCATGTAACTGACAACAATAAGGTGATGTGAGTTTCCTCAATCTAAGTCCTGGAATTATTTAGTGTCACACCTATTTGTGTAATGGTAAAGAAAAATTACACATTCTAAAAGGCAAAGTAAAAAATAAAAACCCAAAGGATTAACAACAAACTTTTATGATTTTGGGGGGCTGCCTCATGAATGTTGAATGCTTGTCATTAACGATACATAAATAAAATATTGGGCTTTAGATTCTCTGGTTCTCCAGGTCTTCATGGCTGCTAAATCACAGCATACTCTGTCTTTTGTCCCACTGGACTCCACTGGTAACCTCATTTTTTTTTGCAGCAGCTTCAGGCTGAACATACAGTAGCAAAGCTGCTCTGTCAGCAGTCCCACACACCTCTCCTGCTCTGTACTCCATTAATCTCTTTGAAGCAACAGGAACCCACTGTTCCACTCATCTACACTTTCTCTAACACCTCCCCCTTTGGGGTCCCAGTCCATGCTGCTTTTCTTCCTCCAGCCTGGATGGTTTGG